TTTATTTATTTATTTATTTAGTTAATTTAGTCATTCATTTATTTGCTATTGTAAATGATATCTTCCATTTTATCCAGCTTATATACATATATGAAGGCCATCAATTTTTATTTTGATGTTATAACTCTGTTTTGCCAGTTTCTCTTATTGTTTTAGTAGTTTTTTCATTAGCTGCTGTGAGATTTTTTATATGTATAATCTTATCATCTGAAAAAACTGAAAACAGTTTTTCCTCTTCTTTTCTAATTATTGTGCCTATAATTGCTATCTATTGGCTAATACCTCCACCATAATATTAAAAATCAGTGGAAATAAGAGGTACTCTTGACTTCTTCCAGATTCTAATATAAAAGCCTCTAGTGTTCCTCCATTAAATAAGATGTCAGCATTTTGGAAACAAAAATGAACAAAACAAATTCTTATTTTCAGGGAATTTACAGACTCATGAAAGGAGATAGATGAGGAAACAGCCTACTTTAATAGCATAACAACATCCAATGGGATGTGCCCAGACTGACGTAGAAGCACATTAGGAAAGGCACTTACTCAGTCTTGGTGACCAGGCAATGATGCTTCTTGGTAGAGCTAATATCTCATTGAGACCCTAGCGTAGTGAGGAGTTAAATAAAGATGGAGGGAAGAGAATTTCACACAAAAGGAACAACATGGGCAAAAGATAAGAGACAAAAGGAACAGAGCTATATATGGGAAAGAGAAGTTAGTGGAAGGTGGGGTGGAAGGGAACAGGGAGTGGACAGAGTTGGGTCAGAATGGTAAGTCAAGGAGTTTGAATTTTATGCTGGGGCAGTGGAGAGTAAAGACTGGTGTCAGTGTGTCAAGTAGGGGCTACACCAGAAGTTCTTCCTACAAGAGGCAGTGTGTGTATCCCTGCCCACGATGTTGTGCTTTGTCAGGTGGCTTGATTGGCCGATGGGGTGTTGGTGGATATGACACAAGCAAAGACTTAAAATGTACTTCTTTCCATTACCAAGAGAAGAACTTGCCTTGAGGAGCCTGCTGGATTCAGAACAATAAGAAAAACATGGAGCAAACCTGAGCCAAACCTACAGTCTGGAACGAAGCCTAGGAAAGTCCAACTGAAATAATTAAAAGCTGTGTTGGCTGCAGATGTGAGCAAAAATGATTGTTGTTATAAACCCCTGAGTATCGGGGTGATTTGTCACACAGCAGTATTATTACAATAGCAGACCAACACGGAGAGAGAAGCATGGAAAAGGAAAGCCAGTTTGAAGATAATTAAAATCTTCCTGCTGAGGTATAAGGGTGGTCTGACTAATATGATAGCAGAGGAAACAGAAGTAAGAGGACATTTGTGAGAGACACAAAGGAGGCAGAATTTAAAGGTCTCAGGGTTGAGTCGGATATCAAAGTCATGGACAGAGAGAAGGACAGCGTGCCCAGGTTTCTTGCTGGTGCAGCTGAGAGAGCTGTGGGATGGTTCTGTGTGACGCAGACCACAGGAGGAGGAACGGGATTGAAAATTCTGCTTGACCAGGTTGGATCTGAGCCACCAATGCGCAGCCCAGCGGAAATGTCCTCGACATCTGCTTTCGTCATCAAATGAGGGTAACATCACGTGCCTTAACCAACCTCACAGGTTATTGTGGAGAACAAGCAAGTTAAAACACACAAAAGGGCTTTAAAAAGAACCACTACTGATGTTTAATAATCACCAGTGATTATTAAAATTAAAGCACTAACATTTTCATTTTCATGCTGCCAGATGTAAAAAGCACGCTCTAATTTTATTTTTGAAACTGTGCTACTGAGTTTGTAACTACTGTGCTAGTCACACATTCTTTTTTAATTTCTGAGAGAAGCCAGAGCTGATGCTTCTAAGAAACAATAAACACATTTTTTCAAAGACACGTAAGGAGCAGAATTTGGAGACAAAGGATCCTAGGGCTGGCAGTACCTGTGAGACTCTGAACTATCATTTAAGCTCTCTGGGCCTCTCATTCTTCATTTGTGAAGGTAAGGTTTGTATTTGTTGATTTCTAAGATATTTTACTGTTCTCACATATGTGAAACCATGGCTTCTCTTAACATTTTCAGCTTTACCTACCTCCTACCAACAATACTCTTCAAACTTGATCTGTAATTTAGAAAAGAGTCTCCCACTTGCCCGTCCTCACCATGTTAGCTCAGTCTTGATCAGCAACTTCTCTTTTGGAGCAAATTCAGCTGGTCCAGATTGCCTGTTAAGTCTCATGCAGGAAAGCTTATTTTCATCTATGTGTAAGGGATAAGGATCTAGAAGGAGTTCTGATTTGTTTGCTTCTCTCGCTGTGGCAGGATCCATTTACCACTTAGTCAAGGTGGTAATGAGAGGCTCCGTACCAGGCAACTGTGGCTGCCATCTGGCAGGCCAGCACCTACGTTCGGCAGACAGAACCAATTAGTCAGGCCCCACATCTCCCATGAGACCTTGCTGTGTTGGTGGCTGGGTGTCAGTCCTACTGAGCCTCCCACAAGAAACCTCATTGAGTTCTGGGAGGGGAGCAGCAAGTCATCTCCCTCTGGCACTACAGAGCTAGCAAAGAATTCAGGTCATGGAGGTCCAAAAACAGCTCACCCAATGAACATTCTGCCCACTATAACGGCTGACGCAGAATCTATACCAGGAATGGGAAGCTTGATGTGGTTGGGTAGCTTCAAGAGACAAATTTCCATTTATAAGAGGAAAACTAGAAAAGATTTAAATGCCATCAATAAGGGATTAGTTAAAGAGACATACTATGTGCACAAAAAGGAAAGAATACAGTTTGGTGATTAAGGACCTAGAACCTAGGCTTCAGTTGTGGCTCTGCCTCTCCTCAGCTTTACGATCTGGGCAAAGACTTGACCTGTTTGTTTCTCATTCCTTCATCTATGAACTGAGATGGTAACAATTCCTACTTCATTGGGTGCTTAGGAGTAATGAGTTAGTTGATATATGTAAAGAGCTTAGAGTAGTGCCTGGCACATAGTAAATGCCTTCAGGTGTCAGCTCTGCATGTGACAACTCAGATAATAGCTCATAGAGCTATTAAAGATCATGCTTGGGCTGGCCCCATGGCTTATCGGTTAAGTGCACGTGCTCTGATACTGGCGGCCCGGGTTTGGATCCTAGGCGCACACCCACGCACCGCTTCTGCAGCCATGCTGAGGCCGCGTCCCACATACAGCAACTAGAAAGATGTGTAACTATGACATACAACTATCTACTGGAGCTTTGGGGGAAAAAAAGGAGGAGGATTGGCAATGGATGTTAGCTCAGAGCCGGTCTTCCTCAGCGAAAGAGAGGAGGATTAGCATGGATGTTAGCTCAGGGCTGATCTTCCTCACACACACAAAAAAAAATAGTAAAGATCATGCTTATGATGAACTTTTGAAGCAGGGAGAGAATTCTTGATATGAAGTGAATCGAGCAGGATAACAAAGAGAATACACATAATGATTCTCATTCTATATCTATGCATGGATGAAAGAAGAGAAAAAAATATACCACTATTTTTCTTTGGTTGTGTTTTATTTTCTTTGTATTTATATTCTCCCTCCATTTTCCAAAATTTCTACATGCATATATAATATTTTATAATTAAAAAATCAATAAAAATTTTAGGAAGAAAAGAGAAGTGAAGAAAACCTGGGTAAACATCTGGTCTACACACCTATGAGTCACTTTAACTTTTCTGAGTCTCAGTTTTATTGTCTATACCACAGTGATAGAAATAACACTGGCACCTACCTCATAGGGTTAATTCCAAGGAGCAAATGATAACATTTACCTGGAAGCCATCAGTCAATAATAAAGTGTTTTACACCTATAATATTATTGCCAAGGTCATCCGTGGGGAGTAACAAGAACAGATATGTTAATGACAGAGTTGAAATTAGGTAAAAGCCCAGAGGTCTTTAGAAGTTCATAATAGATTATTTCATCTCTGCAGATGCACTAGTCCTGCTCCAACCAGGCTTAATTCAAGGACTCATTATGGGAAAGCCAAAAGAACACACTAACTGGGGGTTAGGGGGCCCGAGTTTCAGCGTCGGCTGTGCCACAGACATTTGGGGAAGTCACTTTTATTCTGGACCCTAGTGTCCAACTAAACCTTGCAGAGTGGTCTGAGTCCACTGGTGGGCTGCTAACCACTCCCAATTATAATCTTTGCAGAGTTCTTATGAGCAAAAGATCACAAATCCATAGGCTTTTATTTTCTCCTATGTCTAAAGACTAGGTAGATGTGAGTGAGTTAGCAGGGCTATTAAAATTATAAACTAAAAATAATCATGTTAGAGTTTCCTGCAGACTCTAATTCAGTATTCTACTAAAATAGCTGTCTGTCACTTAATGCTTGGCAGCACTGCAAAATTCCTATGCTATGTATCTGTTTAATTACAATTTCAGCAAATTTTGGAAATGGTACTTTGTCATCAATGAATCATTAGTTTTGTCTTGATTTGGATCCAGTTTCCAATTGCTACTATTCTTGTCTTTTAATTAAAAATTACTAATCATTTAGATTCATCATAGTCAAGTTAGCTTGTTGAGGATTGGTTGATTCTTAACAGAGTGCAGCGATATATATTTCTATCAAGATAGTTTTGGGCTGATAATTTTTTGATATCTAGACATGGTTGCATTGGATTTTGAAAATAAATGATGTCTTCCTGTAATGTTAAAGCAGACAGACCCTCCCCCCCACACACACCCCAAATCTGCATGTACGGTAACATTTATCACCGTATGACCGTTGCTGCGTTAGCTGAAGATATAGTAGATTGACCAACTCAGTTGGTGGTCAACAAAGATGCAACATATAAAATGACCTCAAAATTCATTTTCAGATTGAAAAAAATTAATTCTAATTCTATCTTATGCACAATATACTAATTATCATCAGCACAAGTGTGTGTCAGTGTGAATCTACGTTTCCAATCTAATTCTGAATTTTCCTAGTCAGTTACCAAGAAAAACTTGAGTATTTGTCACTCACTTTGCCATCCAGAAATCTGCTACTGAGTGCTCCTGTTAGGAGTTTCTGGTTGTTCTCTGGGTTCTGGTTTTTCTCCAGATGCTTGCTCTCCTCCGCATCATCTGGGTCATGATCCATCGGATGGTCAGTGGGATTAGTAGCAGCTGAGGGGTCTCCGCTCATCTGCCCTGCATTACCAGTCACAGATCCCTGGAGCACTGTTTGGGTTGCTGCCTTCAAGTTCTCATTCTCTTTGCTGTGAGAAACAGTTTTACACTTTGTTACTCCCAGGGCAGACTCTGCATGCAAGAGGCCAGCATAAGAAACGGAAGGTGTTCATCCGGTGGTATGAACAGCAGTAACTCCGCGTGGTGGATGAAGAAGTAAACGTCGATTATGCGTCTCTGGGTCACTTACAGTAGAGAGAACCTGTTCCTTACACAAAGGCAATCTACCCATCTGCTCCAAACCCTTAGTATAAGCAATGGCAGGTCAGAAAGGAACTGGAAAGATTATCACACATCTCACCCACAAGTCTAACAGGTATTTTCAGTGTTTGCAACCAGAAAAGGCAGAAGTCAAAGCAGTCCGCCAGCGCCAGCTGTGCTCTCTGTCTCTCCTCAATTGCCTCACCTGGAGGCTTTTTTCTTTCCTCAGTCCTTCATTTAAGTTTAATATTAAATAGGGAAAAGACAACGAAAAAAAAAACCGTAGAAATGATTCAAAGAAATGCAAATAATAAACAAAATTTAAAAAATTATTCAACCTTATTTAATAAGTAAAGACTTACAAGTCAAAACAATTAAAAGGCACCATTTTAAATGTGGAAAACTTTTCTGAAAACAAGAAACAAATGCTAATGGCCACAAAAATAGACATAATTCATATCGTGTGTGACTTGATGAAACATATTAAGAGTCAGGAAGTTGAAACTCTTTAAGCTAGCAAATCAATTTTTAAGGTGGAGCATTACAGGAAAAAAATGCAGAAAAAGAAAAATTAAAAACTCTAAATATTTAGCAATAGGTGGATAGGTTAAATATTTCATTCTATGTTTGTATGATGGACTGTATAATAGAACCATTAAAATAGTCAAGAGTAATTTCAATGACACAAGAAAATGTCCATGCAACTCTGACATCCAACTATCTACTGGGGCTTTGGGGGAAAAAAAAGGAGGAGGATTGGCAATAGATGTTAGCTCAGAGCCGGTCTTCCTCAGCAAAAAGAGGAGGATTAGCACGATGTTAGCTCAGGGCTGATCTTCCTCACAAATAAAAAAAAGAAGAAAATGTCCAATTATACAAATAAGTGAAAATATAATTGCATGTATGTAATACATGTGTTTATGTGTGAGAGTACATAGTATATCTAGAAGGAAATATGCCAGAAATAAACAGTAAGTATCTGTGGGGAGTAGAACTCATGATATTACATTATACACCATTACATTATATTATATCATGCTATATCTTATAAAACTATTATTCCAAATATTTAGATGAGAAAATATTATTTTATAATTAGGAAAACTAAATTTCAAAATAGGTATGCTTTGTGCCTAGAAGGCATTCTATAAATTCTAGCTGTTACTATTGATACAGTGGTAAGGATTCATTTTAGAGCATGTCATGTTATCTGAGCATAAATCAACTGCTCCAATAATGACTGATTTGAAGAAGGCCAAACCATAGGCAAAGATTTGAATGTATATGTGTTTTTTACAGTAATCCTCTTGGTTGTGGTAGCATGAGAAGGAAGTCAGGCCTAGGAAAGAACTCTGAGGAACACCTATATTTACAGAAGAAAGAAGAGCCCTAAAAGGAGATTTAGAAGAAATTCTCAGTAAGGTAGAAGGGAGATCAGGAGTGTGGGGTTTTGGCAGCAAAGTGGAGGATGTTTCCAGAGAGAGGGCATAGTCAACAGTGTCAGGGCCTCCTGAGAAAGATAAGCTCTTAGAAGTGTCCACTGAATGAAGCCATAAGGACGGCATCAGGAATCTCGATGAGGGGAGCTTCAGCGAGGTAACGGAGGTGGACGCTAGACTGAAGTGGATTGAGGAAAGAGAGGGGATGAGAAACTGAAGGCAAGTATAAAGACCTTTGTGAAGAAGTTTGGCTGCAAGAGGGGAGAAAGATGGGGTGGTGACTGGAGTGCAATAGTGCAATGTGGGTTTTGTTATTATCATGTGGAAAGATAGTCTGAACTTGAACACATTTAAATGCCCATAGTGAGGAGCCAACTGAACCAAAGAAGAGGAGAGGATATGGTTGATGACACAAGATGACCCTGACAAAAAGAGATGGGGTGTCATTGAGAGAACAGAGGCAGAAATGAACCTCAGTGTAGTGTAGTAGGGAGATAGGTGAGTACGTAGGCAAATTTATTTGTACGTTTGGTGACAGAGTATTGATCACATTGCTGACAGCTTGAATTTTCTCTGATATATAGGATGTGGCTACTTGTTGGATCTCAAGGGGGAAGTGATGCGGTAGGAAGTCTGAATTAAGGGCTGGTGGCTTGAAATAGCTGCTATGAAAAGCGGAAGAGAGCTAATCAGAAAAAGAAGGAAGGTTGGCTGAGCACAGCTGCGTGGGCAGTGAAGGTTGGTGACCACGATTCTGTGGCATCATCTGGGAGGGTGCGTGCTCTCCTCTAGGACTGCCCAGTGGCCCTTGTGGAGATGCAAAGAAGCAGCTAGTGGGGCTCATCCAGGGCTGGGGCTTTGCCAGGCGGGTGCAGTCAAATGACAATAGAGCAAGACAGAAATATTAGAAGAAGAGAGTATATTTAACAAATAGTTCTTGCCATGAGAGAAGATGCATAACACATGGTCCCCGACCTCAAGAAATTTAACTTCATTTGGCTGTCCAAAAATAACACAAATAATAAAGTTAACAACTGGTACATATTTGCTTCTAGAAGTCAGACAGCTAGCTCTTAGATAGTGGTTACCTTTGGGGGAAGTGTAGAGCCCAGAAGGGAATGCCAGGGGGACTTCCGGGATATCCATACTATTTTGTCTTTTGATCTCAATGTTTTTTGCACGGGTGTATCATGTTTGTGAGAAGTCAGAGAGAGTATACTTAAGACATGTGTACTTTTATGTATATACATATATTTCTATAAAGTGTTCATAGAAATTGGTATAAAATTTACATAACTAATATGAAACATAATTAGCATATAAATAAATGTCAAGTGAATGTTGAAAAGAATAGAGCTATTTGAAGTTCGTAACAAAGAGAAACAACTACGGTCTGCAATGGTTGCAAAAATAACAGTATTACTGAGCATTTAACTATATGACAGTCACATCATAGCCATTTACAAACACTGGTTTATTTAATATTCAGATCAACCCTACAAGGAGGTACGCATATTATTCTCATTTGGGGATGAAGGAATTAAGGCTCAGAGAATGTATGTGATTTGTCCAACTCTACATGGCTTTTCAGTAGCGGAGCCAGAATTTAAACCTAAGTCTACCTGGTCGCACAAGTTTCTTGTGCCAGTGGTCAGGAGAAGATGCCCGGAAGTTTGGGATCATGTGAGGAGCGGAAAGTTGAGGAGACGGCAACCAAAGCAGGAAGTGAAGGATCTAAAGGCGAAAATGGACAGCGAGTTAACTCCTCTGGATGAAGGCAAAGAGACAAACCTCCTTGCGTTAATCACCTTCAAGACTCTTTGTGGGCAGTCTCAGGACAGAATTGCCCGAGAAATGTGAACTGTATCTGCCTGTCTGCTAAAACAGCCACCGTAGATGTAAAACCAAAAATAACCTGTTAAATCTGTTCAAAGTAAAAGCTGTTTTTTAAAAAAACATACACAGCACCTTAAAATTATCATGAAAATGACTCCCCAGCTGAGAAACGGCAGTTGTCTGTTGTTAGCACAAACAATTTGTCAACACACCTTGGTTGTTATGCTGTTCACAGACTCACGGTTCTTTCTTCTAGGCTTGTGTGCTATCTACCTGCTGTACTGAAAATAGAAACTTACCATTTCAAAACAAGGAAAAAAATGCCATCAACACCATGTTGGAAGCAAGACACAGCTAGCTTCCTCATATGTATTTCTGACCTCAGCTGCTGCTCGCAGGGACGCTGTGAAGAGTTCAGTGTTATCCGGGGACCATAGCAATTAGGAGGATTACTGACTGACAAATAAATGAGGAGAAAACTGTCCAGTGTTCCCTCATCCACACTGGGCTCTTCCTGCAGACCAACCCTTCAGTGCCGCCCTTCACAAGAGTGCAGAGTCCAGGGTTGGAAAGAAACATTGCAAGGGTGTCTAGTAGCATCCTCTGCCCACAGCAATGTAGAGCTCCCCCATTGGCCCCACCTCCGTGTAACTCCAGCTCCCCAGATCTCACATTTGATTTAGATTACACCCCTGCCGAGAACATCAAAGTCTCAGATGGAGGACCCAGGAGGCTAAGTGAAAAGGTCACCAGATGCCATCTTAAAGGTCTGCCAGCCTTGGCAGTGGCTCAATGCCACTAATTTCCAACTGTGTACCATCTAACAGGCCCCAAACACTCTGGAGAAAACAGCCCAGGGTGTGCCAGTGCCGTGAATGGGGATCTAATTTCAGTAAATGAAAGTATGTTCTTAATTTGGAAGTAATAACAGATAATCAACACAACCAGTCTTTTCTTTTTAAAAAAGACAGCAAAAAATAAAATGGGACTGAGGAGGGGAATGCAGCTGATGTCACCAAAGCCCATGGGGAGCTGAGATGAAGCCTATGCTACTGTAGCATGTTATTGTGCTGAAGAGCGAGGGGTTTCTTCTTTTTCTTTTATGCCATGGAGCTATATAAACCAACAATATCACCTATTATTATAATAGAAATTTAGTTTTCATAAAGATTTTAAAAGTACGTTAACTCCCAGACCTACGCCTGAACCATTTCTGTCACTGTAATTATACAAGCTGACGTTCTAAATGCTTATGTGTCAGCTACCATGTGTAAATTCTTTCATGTTATCCTAATAATCCTGAAAAGTGGTGTTACTGTCACCATTGTTCAGACGAGAAAATGAATAATCAGGGAGGTTGAGTAAATTGCCCAAGGTCGCTTTGCTAGTAAGTAGAAATTGAGGACTCACACCCAGGTGTGTACAGCTCCAAAGCGTATACTCCTTCCTCTACATTACCCTCAGTTTACACCATAATATACAAACTGTCTATCTTAACAGAATTTTGATTCTCTTTTAAAATGTTAGTAAAAAATAACATACAAACACATCTA